GTGGTGAAGGGTATAAATAGGTAGATCCCTGTAAGTATTTATATATAACTCCCAAATCAGAGTAGATAGAACAATGAAATTGGTATCAATGTAAATGTCAACTCCTCTTCGATATACTATCAGGGTCTGTGTTCTTAAAAATAAAATTTTTGTAATTTTTCACACAAAATATTGACCATTCATCATCAAAACAGTCATGCAGGCCATATACCCTTCCTCGTGTCACATTTCATAAATTTAGGGTCGTAATTGCGGCCTCTGGACCGACCCGAAAGATAAAAATAAAGTTTTTGGTCCATTTTATCTTCTACTTATTTACCGATCATAACCAAAAACAAAACTTCATAACGATTGGTACATAACTGGAGCATGTATCGTGTTTATATCGGTGTCAATAAATTTAATTTTGTTTTTTAATTAACTATTTCAAAACTGTGAAAATCTCAACAACTCCTGAAGATAGTGCCGATTTATTGTGTCAGCATCAAGGATGCTTATCAAACTTTGAACACGTTTTTTTTCGAAACGATAACTTCTTAAACTATCTTCCTGTCATATATTGTTGGTCGAATTAATAGCAAGTTCTAAACTCAGTGCAAAAAATCGTGAAAAACGCTTCGAAAATGACATGTTTTTTGGCAGATGTGTCATTTTGAGTATGATGTTGTTGTTGTTTTGATATTATTTCAGAGCAACATTTTTATACCCTTCACCACACTGTGGTACAGGGTATTATGTCTTTGTGCATATGTTTGTAACAGGCAAAAGGAAACGAGATAGACACATGGTTCCTTTTGAGAATATACATAGAATCACTTTCTGAGTCGATTTATGCATGTCCGTCCGTCCGTCTGTAGATGTTAAATTGTAAACAAAGTACAGGTCGCATTAATGATCCGGTTTGGATGAAATTTGGCACAAATCACTTATTTGGCCCAAGGACGAACCCTATTGAATTTGAACCCTATTAATTTGAAAATATTTCCCTATATATCAGTCGATTTGCACGAAATTTGGCATAGAGTACTGAATTAGGTCCAGAATGATGTGTGCCAAGTTTCGAGAAAATCGGTTCAGATTTATATATAGCTCCCATATATAGTTTCGTCCGATTTAAGGTTAATGGTGTACCAAACTCCCTATATATCATTCGATTTGCACGAAATTTGGCATAGAGTACTGAATTAGGTCCAGAATGATGTGTGTTAAGTTTCCTGAAAATCTGTTCAGATTTAGATATATACATTTTTTCGATTCTATGTAAATGGCGCATCAAAGTTCCTATATACCTTTCGATTTGCATGAAATTTGGCACTTCTTACTGAATTAAGTCTAGAATGATGTGTGCTAAGTTTCGGAAAAATCGGTTCTGGGTTCGATATAGCTACCACATATACATATATATTCGTCCGATTTTACATTAATGGGGCACCAACCTTCTAATGTGTGTCCGATTAAAACGATTTTTTGCACAAGGTATCAAGTTGATACTTGAATAACGTTATTGCGTTTCGTTGAAATTGATGTAGATGCTGTCATAGCTTCCATATGTATTTCGAATGGATGTCTGAATGAAATTAAAATTTGACCAGTGCGGCGAACGAATAGCGTGTATTAATTTTGCTATAAGTCGTTTTTCATAAATTTGTCCCATGGTACGAAGTCGACTTTAAATCTGCCCGAATGAAATTAAATTTATCATAGGTTGCAGAAAGACTTGCGTATGTTCCTTGGAGGAGATACATATGTACAATATACCCAAAGTGGTGAAGGGTATCATATAGTCGGCCCAGTCCGACTTTACTTTTTTCCTTACTGGTTAGATCTTATTAAAGGGTAAAACATTGCTGAAGTGTGAAAATCAATATTTCGAGTAGTTCACGAGATAAGCGTATGTATTATTTGAAAATCCACACCAAATCGACCAAATTAAAAATGGGTTTAAACAAATCCCTTAGATGGTAATTCAAAACCCAGCTAGGGATTTCCTTGGTTCAAGATGAAAAATATGTCATAATGTTATTAAAAAATATACTTTCTTTTTCCAAAATCCTCGCCTGAGACAGTTTTAGCTGCGTTGGTCCTCAACAAATGTTGAAAGAAACCCACTTATATATGCGATGGATCTTAAAAAATATTATTTAACCCTTTCACTACCAATTCATTTTATTGAATTTTTTTTTTTTTGCTTTTTATTCTGGATATATAAATTTATATAACCGTACAAAAATTGTATTTGCCCTCAACCCCATCTTTTCATCCATTGCACAAGGTAGTCAATAAAATTATAGGTTTTTGTTAATCATTGCATTGACATGACGTGATGTACACTGGTAATGAAAGGGTTAACAAATCAACCATTGTAGTTGAAATTGTCCTTACATTTTAAGGCTTAAAATATTACTTAAACGATTCTGTGTTGATTCTTAAAAATATATGTTTCATCCGTGCTTTTAACTGGTTTAAGAATCCAGCCCCATAGAAAGAAGCAAAGTGAAACATATTATGTAAAACCTCACTCTTTTAATTCAAATAATTCTTTAAATTTTATTTTTTTAATTCGTAATACACAATATTTTATTCTATATTAAAATTTTAATTTTTTATCAGTTCATTTATTATCATAATTATTTAACCACGGAAATAATGACTTCCACCAATGCCAACATTAAATTCCCTATGATTTTCCAGCGGTCCACTTAACCATTTCGAACCAGAACCAAAGGCGTCCAAACGAGTATTACCATCATCAGATTTAAATAGATTTGTGTGACCACCAACGGATGCTTGTTTGCCAAAACCTTCAAAACGCGTTACACCACCACTCAAACCATGTCCTCCTTCATTAGTCCATTTTAGGGTACCACTTTCCTTGTTGAAGCCAAAACCATTGTTCAGTTTTGTATTGGTATGTGAATAGAGGGCATCCACACTATTGCGATCATTATTGAATATGTTGTACCCCAATGATTTGGTGAAACTGTCACTGACACCCGTGTTAATGTCACGACTCAAAGAACCACCAACACCGAGGGAGCTTTTCCAATCCAAAGAGCCTGATGAGGATTCAGCAAATTTACCATTGGGGAAATAGGTTTTACTTTGGGTTACAGTGCCATCCACCTTGTTCGAAGGACTGCTGAATATGTTACTGCTAACGGAATTGGTTTTAATCGAAACACCATTGCTAGAAAATAAAATGGGATTTAAATATTTTTCATCATCAAATTTAGTGAATTATCATCTTACCTTGTGGAGGGATTGTCTGGAGAACGACGAGCTCTCATAATCCTGGGTTGCTGAGTTGGTGGTGGATAATAAGGTAGTTTTTGCACATAAACTCGTTGTGGCTGAGCCTCTGAGAAAGAAGCAAAGGCCAAAATGCCAACACAGGCTCCCAACAGTAGAATGCACTTCATTTTGTAAGTATATTTATTTTTTTATTGATATTATTTTGTTCGAATACTTGTTGTGTTCTGATGTCATGTGTTTTCGTTGCAACGTCTTTTATACTCAAACACATTTTTTGCGGTTGGATGCAAAGTCTTATCAAATTTTGGTTTTGCCTTTATTTCTTTGGGATTCACCATCCATCGTCTAGGGACTTTACTCACACCCGTCATTGTATTGAAATATGAACAATAATAATTCGTCATATATCAACACGAATATATTATGGGTCAATTTTAAGAAAGTATTGTACGGGGAATGGGAATGTACAAAGAAATTCTAAAGAAATTTGGTTCTATTGGGAGTCTTACTTCAACAAAGCTCACGCTCAGTAGATCTTTATAAAATATTCTTTAAAAATCCACGCCTATAGCTCTGCTAGTCCTTTATAAAATATTCTTTAAAAATCCACGCATATAGCTCTGCTAGTCCTTTATAAAATATTCTTTAAAAATCCACGCATATAGCTCTGGTAGTCCGTTATAAAATATTCTTTAAAAATCCACGCCTATAGCTCTGCTAGTCCTTTAGAAAAATATTCTTTACAAATCCACGCCTATAGCTCTGCTAGTCCTTTATAAAATATTCTTTAAAAATCCACGCCTATAGCTCTGCTAGTCCTTTATAAAATATTCTTTAAAAATCCACGCCTATAGCTCTGCTAGTCCTTTATAAAATATTCTTTAAAAATCCACGCCTATAGCTCTGCTAGTCCTTTATAAAATATTCTTTAAAAATCCACGCCTATAGCTCTGCTAGTCCTTTATAAAATATTCTTTAAAAATCCACGCCTATAGCTCTGCTAGTCCTTTATAAAATATTCTTTAAAAATCCACGCCTATAGCTCTGCTAGTCCTTTATAAAACATTCTTTAAAAATCCACGCCTATAGCTCTGCTAGTCCTTTATAAAATATTCTTTAAAAATCCACGCCTATAGCTCTGGTAGACGTTTATAAAATATTCTTAAAAAATCCACGCCTATAGCTCTGGTAGACCTTAATATAATATTCTTGAAAAATCCATGCTTATAGCTCTGCTAGTCCTTTATATTTTTTTTAATCCACGCCTATAGCTCTGCTGGTCCTTTATAAAATGTTCTTTAAAAATCCTCGCTTACAGCTCTGCTGGTCCTTTATAAAATGTTCTTTAAAATCCACGCTTACCGCTCTGCTGGTCCTTTATAAAATATTCTTTAAAAATCCACGCCTATAGCTCTGCTAGTCCTTTATAAAATATTCTTTAGTACACTTGAACCCACAACTTCCGATTTGTAAATCGTCATTTTTCCACACAAAAAATATATTCTTCTTAATTTTGGGGAAGTAATCTCATTTTGCAGTAAACAGTTGAGGCTGCGTGTGTGAATTCCCTCAGAGAAGGTGAATCCCAGAAAGCACAAAAAACGCAAACAAAATTGATAAGCCAGTGGTGCCTTAGACAACAAATGTTTTGAAAGTATATAAGGCAAAGAAACCCAAACAGATGGTATCAGAACACAAAAAGTATTCCTACGAAATAACATCAATCAACGAATAAATACAGCTTAAACATGCAGTGCGTTCTATTGATGGCAGCTTGTGTTGGCATTTTAGCCATTGTTTCTTTGTCAGAAGCTCAACCACAACGTGCTCATGTACAAAAACTGCCCTACTATACATCACCTACCCAGGCAACCAGGCCCAGGAGGGCTCGTCGTTCTCCAGATAGTCCCTCAACAAGGTAAGATGATGATTCGTTAAGTAAGTTGAGGAGAAATTTTTAAATATATTTTAATTTTCTAGCAATGGCGTCTCCATAAAAACCAGTTCCGTTAGCAGTAACATATACAGCAGTCCTTCGAACAAGGTGGATGGCACAGTTACACAAAGTAAAACCTACTTTCCAAATGGTAAATTTGCTGAAACATCATCGGCTTCTTTGGATTGGAAGAATTCCCTCGGGGTTGGTGGTTCTTTGAGCCGTGACATTAACACGGGTGTCAGTGATAGTTTCACCAAGTCAGTGGGATACAATATTTTCAATAATGATCGCAATAGCGTGGATGCCCTCTATTCACATACCAACACAAAACTGAATAATGGTTTTGGTTTCAACAAGGAAAGTGGTACCCTAAAATGGACTAATGAATGAGGACATGGTTTGAATGGTGGTATAACGCGTTTCGAAGGTTTTGGCAAACAAGCTTCCGTTGGTGGCCACACAAATATATTTAAATCTGATGATGGTAATACTCGTTTGGATGCCTTTGGTTCTGGATCGAAATGGTTGAGTGGCCCGCTTGAAAATCATCGGGAGTTTAATGTTGGCATTGGTGGAAGTCATTATTTCCGTGGATAAATTTCAATTTTTAGAAATTTAATTAAGAATAATTTATTTATATTTTTTCGGAGTTTCAAATTTTTAATTAAGTATCATTTATTTATATTTTTTCGGAATAAAATACTTTTATAAATCCAAAATATTAATTTGTATATTTTTGTCTTCTACATATAGAAAGTTTTCTATGTAGACAGAATAAATCTACTATTGGTTTAAGTCTTTTAAGATGTCTTCAATAGAAAGAGAGCAATTTTGAGGTCTTCTATAGAGAAAATACATTTAAAAGGTCCTCTATAAAAATTAGTTCTCTTAGAGGTCTTCTATACATAGAGGACCTTCTAGAGGATTCCTAATGGGATATAATCAATAGAGTACATATATCGCGAAATATTTCCCATGCTCGATATATAGATCCGCAGAAACTTATAATAGCTAAGTGGTAGTTGTGTAGGTCCGACTATACTGCACCGCTCACTGGTTCAAAATATATAGCAAAATATTTTGAAATTTCTACTAATTTATGCACACACGATAAGTTGCACAATTTTATTTTTAACTGTCTTTCCGAAATGCGGTATTAAAAAATAAATAAAATACTAATTAAATGTCTGCTGGCTTAACGCTTATAAAGTTATTTCACAGCTAATTTAAACGAATTTATGTAGTTATGCAGATGTCTGCTTAGAGAACAATATAAATCTTATAAAATGTGTATTAGGTTGAAACGACTATAATGCTAATTTAATTAGAAAAAATAGTTTTTTTGTAAGAAATTAAAAATGCTAAAATTATATATGAGAGATATATCTATCAGTACGCTATCCCAATTTCGTGCAAATCGAAGGAAATATAGGGGTATTGGTGCACCATTAACATAAAATCGGAATAAATTATAAATGTGAGCTATATCTAAATCTGAACCGATTTTCACAACATTTAACACACACCATTCTAGACTTAATTTATAACGTTATGCTTTGGTGCACTGTTTGCATTAACTCGGGCGAAAATATATATGTGAGGGTTTGCCCTTGGGCCCAATAAGTGAGCTATGTCAATTTTCATCCAAATCGAATCATCAATGCGACCTGTACTTTGCTTACAAAAATACATGCACAGACGGACGGACATGAGTAAATCGACTCAAAGAGCGAATCTATGCATACTCTCACCATTCTACCATTCTATCTCCTTTTGCTATTTCAGATATTTTGATAGTCAAACCAATGTTTCCAAACGAAATGGCGGATTCTCATTACCTCCTGCTTTTAAAGTAACGCTACTATTTTTAAGTAACGACTCCAGTAAGAGCCATACTGAGAACCCGAAAATTACCCGATACTGATATTATGTACAGGATTGAATCGAATTCACACATTTATGTGAATTTTATTTTGTCATGGGAACGGTGCTTTTTGGTTCGTCCGGGGACAGAAACAAAAATTCCGGACCTAGGTCTTAAAGAGTTTTTCAAAATCGAAACCACTACAGATCTATATCGTTAACCCGAATAATGCTGTAATTATTTTTTCGAATTTTGGAACGAAACTTTCAGCGTCTCTAGATTGTGGGTCGCTGAATCCAAAATTTTGATTTGTATTATTATACCCTACACAACTATGTTGTCAGGGTATTATACAGCCCCAAGAGTTTGTAACGCCGCGAAATATCGTCATATCTCGACTAGCTGAGTCGATCTAGACATGTGTGTACGTTCGTCCGTCTGTCCATTATAATTTGTAAAACGATACAGGCCACAGTTATGGGCCAATCTTCACGAAATTTTGCATGTAGGATGGGTTCTGGCCAATGAAGACCCCTATTGTTTTTGATAAATATAGGTTAATGTTTAGGGAATGAAATGGACCAAATACTTAATTTTTGTCCGTTTTTCTGGTAGCTCTAGAGTCCGCAATTATGACCTGAACATCGTAAAATTTTACATGAATAAGGGGATCGGGCCAAAGAATAAGCATGTCTCTTTTGATAAAGATCTGTCAATATTTAGCGGGTCAAATGGACCCTCACTTTTGTGTGAAAAATGACAAAATATGTTCTGACCCGAGAAGGTGATAATATATCCATCAGGTGTGGTTGGCCTTTAAGGGGACTCCCTCCCCATTCTCGGGGTCAAAATTTTTGTTGACTTAATTCCAATCTACACTAATTCAAGAATGTCCCTGCAAAATTGCAAGTAAAAATCTCAAGAACTCTTGAAGATATAGCCGATTTATTGTGTCAGCATCGAGTGACGGCTGAAGGGCTTCTCAAACTTTAAACGCGTTTTTCTCTAAACATTTTTTTGCGAATGGCGGCACGATAACTCAAAAACTAATAACCCAATCGATTTCAAATTTTTACACGTTTCTCTGTGAGTGTATAGCTATCGTATGAACTAGGATAAAGCCAATCGGTGAAGATCTTCCTTATTTTTTAACTTGGTTTTTGGTAAAAAATCGGCGATTTTCCAAAAATATTTTTTCAAAGTTCCGCCATTTTGTTAATTTTAGAGCGAAGTCAATAATCCTAGTTCATACGAGAGCCAGACATGTACTCTTTCTAACACCGTTGGAATTTTCGGATTCCGATGTTCCAGTGAGGAGTTATCATGCCCGCCATCAAAAATAAGGACTTTTCTTTGATCACAAAAAACAACAACAAAACAACAACAAAATTTTTTTGTAAATTATTTTTCTTCTTTTTTAAATCTTCAAATATATATGTGCGAAGTTACAAACCTTAACAAGCATTGGTATTCATTTACCAGCCCATTTAAAATCTTAAAAATAAAAAATCGAGAATGGGGGGGGGGGGGGGTTCCCTTAAATTGATATCAATTATATTGTCCTATGTTCTCGGATGTTGGAGTTACACATAAATGTTTACAAGTTCTACGTATTCAGATATTATTTAGTAACCCATTACCACACTAGAGAGCGGATATATAATGCTGAATGATTTGAAATCTTCCATGGGGTTCCAGTAATGGCCAAAGACGGTGATTATCAGATAATAAATGGAGTAAAAGTCCCAACTTAGACTTAATCTAGGCTTGGCAAAGAAAATTGTTTATCGAATATTGATTTTATAAATATTGAAAATGTTAGTCATTTGTGGGGGAATTCGACTCACTGACCATCTTCTCCGTTACCATAAACTATCCTATGGATGCATTATTATAATTGTAGATAGTAATAACCGCGGCAACCTCATTCGGATGAGAAGGATAGATATTATTACCCCACGTCAGACATCACAATAGTGGTACACGGTATGCATCGACCTAATAACCGACTATTTTTCCGAATCATGAGTAAACTAGATGATATTTTTCCAATCAACGCTTCAGACAGTTGCCCTCGGGTAGCACAGACAACCATAAAAACGGAAATTACCGGCAGATTCATTTTTGTCGCCAATATTAGAGAAAAGATCGTGTAACCGAATATTTATTGTTCTCTCTTGTTCTGTTCGTCGATGCCGTCAACTATGCCAAGCTGTTCGAGAAGGAGTTTTATTTAACTTTGAATAGTAAACTATTGGTACGGACGCCAGTCGTCCACATCAGAAACAGGAAGTCTAAGGCTCACAGAGGGAAACGACGAAATCCCAATGTTTACCTATGTGATCTCCCACAATCACTGATCGGCAGAGAGAACGTAAAATTCAGAACTCAGTGAAAACACACACTGTTCACCTCTTCTATGGCTGAAATTGGGCTCCCATTGAAAAAAAATGTTTTATGTGGAACATATTCCCTAAGACGTAATTTTCAAATGTCTTTATAAGTCACTGTTATATGTGATAAATATAGGATGTATAATAAGACTTTACTGAACATAATGGTCGATGGAGAACAGATTACGACAGCTAATTACCCTATGATATTGGGTGTAATGTTTGACAATCTTTTCAAATCGTCTGCATAAGCCACGGCTTTATGAGATACCTTTATAAGTAGGAATAAGGTCCTCAATTTTCTAGCAGCAGAACAAAGACATACAGACCTGCCAAAAAGCCTCACAAAGAACTCGAACATGATTTATTATTTTCTATGGGCTCAGCCAGATTGTTACCCTTCTGAATATGAAAATAGAGGAGGTAGATGCAAACATTCCACAATGACTATTTATAACTTTAGTTGATTCAACAGTTATATTGACAATCTTCTTTGAGAAGGTAGTTCTAATCCTAGAGTTTAAAATGCTGAAACTATTTACGAACATTCCAAAATTTAGCTCTTAAAAATGTGATTTCCATTTTTCGATGCTAAACATGAACGTGATGTTGCCTAAACAGTTTGGGGTTTCTCTAAAAAAATGCTATGGCTATTCCCAGACATTTGTCGGCATTTGTGGTGTGGCATTTCCAAAACAAGTAATTTTTTGCTGTACATTAAAAATTTATAACATTCTAATTGTCAATATTTTTTATTTTTGTTTAATTGCTTAACAAATTAGCTTTCTTCGAATTTGGTATGAATGTTATTTATTAGAAATTCCAAAAACGCCGATGCATTTTTTATTTGTCGTTGTTTATTTTTAAACCACAAATTATTGGCTTGCGGCCAAGTGTTGCATACTAACCTCTAAAACACAATCGCCAATTTCTAGGCCAGCTCTGGCAGCCGGACTAAAGCAATCCACACCACTGACCTAGACACCAGTATTTTATGTATTGAAAACAAGAAACAAAACAAATTAAATAATTAACACACACAAATCACTTCATAAGCATTTTTGTAGGAGATAAAGACACACTACCCATGGATAGGGATCCCATTTGGATCGTGTCAAATGGAAACCACACGAACCGTTTACTGTCTTATCAATTTGCAGTAAACGTACGGCTGACTCATAATGATCATCAGCATTGTCATCATGATAATCATCAGCATCACAATTATTATTATTGTTGTTGTTATTGCGATCAGTGATCTTTGAACCATAACGCTGGCCAACTAATTTATGTAATTTGTTGCTTTTCTTCCCCGAGCCGGTTTCGTTTTCATTATCAAT